GGAGGAAGCTGATTTCTGCTGCTTGTGTCCATGATTCTTCTGGTCACTACCTAAAGCCTATGACCATAGGTGAGGTTAGAGACGCAGATTGACCTGTAAAATCAAGAGCTTCGATCTTCCACTGAGCTCTCCCTACATCCACATCACTGCAGCCACAGCACCAATCCATCTGTCGATCACCCGCTCCACTCACTCCTGAACAACACCCTGAGATACTTAAACTCCTCCACTTGTGCAGCAAATCATCCCTGACCAAGAGTAGGCACTGCATCCTTTTATGGCTGAGGACAATATCCCCAGTTGACGTCAACAGCGCTCCTCCTGCACTATACACACTGCAGGTGGAGAACCTGCTTTCCCTTTCTTGCAGAGTCACTTCAAGACAGTCTGAAAGTCTTTTTCAGGTGTCAGGATGTGTGGACATCCAATTATGTGAACATGATAACTCAACAACAAGGTGCCAAAGGATTTTCTAATTGATAGCTTAGCTACATTTGACAATCAGACACTTTGGAATTTGGCAGCCTTCATACCCTTTATGCATGTTTTATTTCTCAATGGGACAGTATAAAGCAGCAGCACCGTTTCAGTCTTTTGACAAAATGACATTCAAATCTTTTTCCTAATTTGAATTCAGTGAATGTTCATATAATACTAAACCCTTCTGCATTTAGATTGCATTCATTTTCAGACCAGGGAACAATTTGACAGCAGAAGTGTTAAAAGATGTCTCACAGCTATTGTTACAGCATTAAGGTGGAACATTTTTTAACCTTCTGAAAGATGACTTGGTGATTATGTGCTCAGGAACTTGGGCAACTGTTAGGAGCGTGACTACAGTGAAGCAAGCTTGCTTATCATGGTCAAGACAGAAACTTCCTGAGTTCACATTTGTGAAATTTCCTGTTGTGAGATATAACACATCAGCCCTAACGTGAATTTGAAAACGGAACTACGTCTGCTCTAGATGTTGGTGAATCAAACTGTGACAAAATAACTTTTTATTTACCACCATGCATTTTCAAATACCAGTGTCCGTAATCTTGTGGCATTTTTTCATAAGAGAATGAGCTGTTTTAACAAATGAGACATAAGCAGTCCACTACAGCGCCATTACAGTAGTCTCTACTGTAAAAATGTATGGACATGAGCAGCGGCACAGCACTCCGAATTACGGTGCACCTTTGTTGTTTGTGTTTTTTCTGCCTTTTCATTCCATCTTCCTGCAACGTACTGATCACTTTCAGTCATCAGG